CCCTTCCCCCCCCACCCACACACACACACACACACCCCACACACACCACACAGACATTCACTTACTGGGTCCGTAGCCAGCGCCGCCACCAGCTCCTCTGGTGGCGTTGTGGTCTCGTACTCGTACAGGTTTCGGAGCGCCTGTGCTCGAGAGTCCTGTACGGCGGCGACGGTGTTGGCGGCGGCGGCGGAAAGGAGGGCAGATCAGCAGTACGGCAGCGACGTCCGCGTCGCTGTGAAAGGACGAGGTTCAGAAGGAGTTTAAAAAGGAAAAATCGCCGAACCATCTGACATCTGCCGAAACACCTGGCGCAGTGTTTCTTGTATCTGTCCGGTGATACGCCGCATCTCCTTATCGCTTCATCTTCTGCGCACCTGTGCGGTCAGCGCGGAAAGCTTGGGTCCTACAAACTTGATGAACAACTCCAGCTCCTGAATGCGGCCCACCAGCCTGTACGGGTGTGCCGACGGGCGGACGGAAAGCGGTAAAATAAGGGAACCGGCGAACAGATGTTGGCGGTCGTTGACCAGTAAAGGGTTTTACTGGCCAAGCTCCTTTGCCAAGTCAAAGCCCTTTTGTTCGCCGACACACGTGGCAGGCAGGCAGGCAGGCAGGCAGGCAGGCAGGCAGGCAGGCAGGCAGGCAAGCAGGCAGGCAGGCAGGCAGGCAGGCAGGCAGGCAGGCAGGCAGGCAGGCAGGCAGGCAGGCAGGCAGGCAGGCAGGCAGGCAGGCAAGCAGGCAGGCAGGCAGGCAGGCAGGCAGGCAGGCAGGCAGGCAGGCAGGCAGGCAGGCAAGCAGGCAGGCAGGCAGGCAGGCAGGCAGGCAGGCAGGCAGGCAGGCAGGCAGGCAGGCAGGCAGGCAGGCAGGCAGGCAGGCAGGCAGGCAGGCAGGCAGGCAGGCAGGCAGGCAGGCAGGCAGGCAGGCAGGCAGGCAGGCAGGCAGGCAGGCAGGCAGGCAGGCAGGCAGGCAGGCAGGCAGGCAGGCAGGCAGGCAGGCAGGCAGGCAGGCAGGCAGGCAGGCAGGCAGGCAGGCAGGCAGGCAGGCAGGCAGGCAGGCAGGCAGGCAGGCAGGCAGGCAGGCAGGCAGGCAGGCAGGCAGGCA